TCAGCCAAGAAACGAAGTACAACACTCTTAGCTATCTTCATGACTTAGTTGGTCACCTAGAGGGCAAAATGGTGGTTACAAGCAAGAAGGCTGTAGGTTATCTAGCTGGATGTCTACTGTGATTGTTCTTTGGAAGGTGACGAGTTGGGCAGAAGAGACCGTGGTTACTCCTCACCTTAGCTGTATGTTTCCATAACCTTAACATGAGCGTGTGTATTGGAGGTGGGGAGTGTGTGAACCTGGTGAAAAGGAGAGTAAACGAGCTGACTCTCCAGCCTTATAGTGGGTCAGTTACAGTTACCAAAACTAAAAAAAAGAAGGAAGTAGAAACCAGTGTGTGTTTATACAGAGACAGGGAGATACCAAAACAATCTATGTAAAGATTTTTAAAGACTTTCTTTTGAGGAGGGGTAACCGGAGAGTAAGGGAGCTTTTTGGTAAGTGCCTTTATGTAACTACTGACTCTGAGCTGTGCATCTATCTGGTAAAATTGTCAAATAGGGCCGACCCTGTGTGGACCATTCTCAACAAGCAAGGCTGGAAAGAGGTAGGCAAGTAGGTGACACGATGTCAGAAAGCAGTCACTGAAGGTAGTATTTCTTCTGTTGTTTTTAAGTGTCTAATTCAGTGGTTTTGGATTTTTAAAAAAAGTTTTCTTAATAACACATTTTCTAATCTGGACCCATAGTTAACAGGCAACACTGTGATCAGTTTCACAGTCACATAACCAGGCTCACTGATGTTCCAGCCTAATGCAGTTTAGGGCCTATTATAACATCCTTGCTTTCTGACACCACATTCAATATCAAGATTTTTTGTGCTGTGAGTAACCCAGAAGCAAAACTCTCAAGGACATTAAATGGAAAATGTGATGGCTTCATGCAGGAGTCCAGAGTAGGCCAGATCGCTGGGGTGCTCGTTTCAGTTGCTTAACTTTGTGCTTAAGAACCTGGTGCTTTCCCCTTGCTGCCATCCTCACTGTATCAGCTGTGCCCAGGCTGACTTCTCTGATGACCAGTTGTCTGCAGTGTTTTAGGCATCGTGTTCAGACACAGCTGTGTCAGGAGGGGTAAGCTTGTCTTTGTGTCTCTTAGTAGTAAGAAAACCATTCCCAGAAGCCTCCTGGCTGAGGTAACAAGTCATTGGTCAAACTGGGGTTGTTTTTCCATCCCTAAGCCTATTAGCAAGGAATAATGTTGAACAGGGCTGCTGTTGTGACTGCAGAACTGAGGGTGAGCGCACACAGCACCTGCGAGCCCCCTGCCTTGGGCTGCCCTCCGTTGCCTCTGCACCCTCCACGGCCTCAGAACAGTGAAAATACCTGTGACTGCCTGCAGCCCAGCTGGCCAGGGACTATTTTGTCCTGGAACAACTTGAGAACTGGCTGGGATGCCTTTATGTCAAGGAGAGTTTTGAAGATTACACACTTATTTTGTGGTAGTGCTTTTGGCTCTTTGCCCAGAGATGTGAGCAGTCGCCCTAGAAAGAGAACCTCCTGTATCTGGGGTGATGGACGATGTCTACCAGAAGGGAGCAGCTGGGTGGAGCCAGAGACATGGTGTTGAGATCACAGCGTTCTAATCATCTCCAGAATCTTTGCTCTTTAGCTTGCTTTGTTTACCAGAGCTACGAGGAGATCCAGAACCCTGCTAATCTGGCATTTGATGCTTCACAGAAAGTCACAAAACTTCTGCCTTCTTACCAGTCCCTCTGCCCAGCTGCTGTGCTGTTTCTCACCCGAGCCTGCCGTTTGCTTCCTACTTTGTATCTTTGCCTGTCCCTCTCCCTGTTTAGAATGCTCCCTCTGCATATTTATTTAAATTCCACTCATCCCCCAACACATGTCCCAAGTCTACATTGATCCTCAAGTATTCAGACTTTTTAGCGATTTCTGCTTATACAGAACTTGTGTGACCCAACAGTATATACAGTTCATGTAGCATTTATTGCCTATTGTGGCAAAAGTTTTTTGCTCCCTATATATTTACCTTTCTGGCACGGCAGTAAGCCTATCTGTTTTCATTCCATCCCTGTGTTCCAGCTCCCCTACTTCCCCCTCTCCCTCCCTTGGATTGAACCCAGGACCTTCACACTGAGCTACATCTGTTTTTAATTTTTGAGACCTGGCCTCGCTGAGTCATTAAGTTGCCACCTAGGGTAAAACTTGTGATCCTCCTGTCTCAGCCTCCCAGAATACTGAGATTACAGGCGTGTACCACCATGACCAGGTTAGGCTGTTTTTTTTTTAAAAAAAAGGTCTTATATATGATCTCAGGCGTTTGTGAAAAGGACAATGCACTTGCTGTCTTCCTCACTAAAGACGAGGTGGTGCAGATCAGACAGCTCAGGTAACTCTGGGGGCGGGTCGCAAGCAGAATAAACGTTTGACACTCAGGTTCTAAGTCGTGTCTCTTCCCCTATACAAAATAGTATTTAGTCATTATCACATAAGTAGAGAATAAGGGCTACAAGAGTGGAGAGGCAGATTGGTACCTCTGAGTAGGGAGAGAAGAGCTGGGCAGGTTAGAAGCAGAGAGGATGGTGTAGCAATGACCGCTGGGTAGGCGTGAGCCTTGGGCCTGACCCATGACGAACCTGTTGACCAGCCCCAGGGAAGCAGTGGAAACAGGTTAGTGCAGGGGCAGAGTTCTGGATGGCCTTGGGGAAGGGGTGGCCCTGGCTGCATAGGCTGCTGTACGTGATCGGAGAGCCTAACGGATACGCAGGGTCCTCTGGAGGACAGGCTTCTTGCAGAGCAGCACCTCCACCAAGGAGAAAGTGTTAGGGCGTTAAGAGACATAACCTCCTGCGAGACCTCCACGTTCCTCCCATGTCTTCCTGTCAGGACCTGGGTCCTTGACCGTATCCAGTAAATACTCAACCTTTGAGCTAGGAAACTTGAGACTGCAGATTCAGCTATTGTCACTTAACAGATGGAGGTTCCAACTGTGAAGTTGGGTTTTTGGGTATCTTTGTTTTGTGTCTAAGGCATGAAATAATTTGGCTGTAGGAAGTCTTTAGATTTCAGCCTCTGGCTTGAATTGAGAATTGAGGGATTTTGGCTTGTTTTTCTCATTTCTGACTCTTTCAGTGCCATTCAGAGCAGCTACCTCGCCAGATCTGGTGGCACACACCTGTAATTCCAGCATCCCGGAAGGCTGATTGTGTGGAGGAATCCAAGTTCAACATTAGCCTGGCAGCTTTGAGATTTAGCGAGACCCTGTCTCCGTTTTGTAAAAAGGGATAGGATGTAGCTCAGTATGAAGGTCCAGGGTTCAGTCCCCAGTAACCACCACCACCAGAAGACCCTCGCCCGTCTGAAGCCTTGGATTTCACATGCAGCTTCTGGGTTGGAGCCGGCGTCTGATGCCGTGCCGCCCTGGGTAACGTGGTGAGAGCATGTTCTGCACGGGAGGGCTACTCAGAGCGTCAGCACATAGCGAATCGTGCATCTTCCGACCCCGCGTCTCTGTCATTCGCCACATTCACACCTAGCAGAAACTCCCACATCAGTCAGGAAGGTTTCTGTAACAAGTAATGAAAATGAAGCCTGTTAGGGAAAAAGCAAATGCATTAGAAGACTGTTAGGGGACGGTTCATTCGCAAGAAGTTGGTGGACCGGTTTTGGAAGATGGTGAGAACCAAAGCAATCTGGAAGCCAAGAATGAGAAGCATAGTAACTATTCTGTTGCCGCTGAGGCCTCTTCTGGGCGCTGCTCTGTGCATTCTGCTGTGCTGTACTGATTCCATTTTCAAGAGCTCTGAGCAGTAGGTGAGGGGCTCAGATGAGCTCAGTCCAGGCCTGGTGCCTATGCTGTGTGGGAGCAGGGAGGGGCACGTCAGGCCATGTGCCTTCGTGGTAGAGAGGTCCTCCAAATGCTGGGAGGTCTCCAAAGTTGGAGTGAACCCCAAAGCCTCATGCGCTCACAGGTAGACCATGATAGTGATAATCATCAGCGGATCAGTCCACTGACGAGTTTATAGCTGAAACTAATGTAAGGAGTAAAACCTAGGAGGAGGTGGTCACTGGAGGCCTGGCCTGGAAGGATCGAGCTCCTTCCCTCCCGTGATCACTGCTCCCTGTCTGCCATGCCGTGAGCTGTTTCTCCTCTGCCATGCTGCCCTGCCCTGGAACCAGTCAAATACGGATTGAAGTCTCTGCAAACTGAGCCAAAGTAAACCTTTTCTCCTTAGAGTTGTGGGTGTTGAGTACTGTGTCTCAGTGACAAGAAAGTAAGGCGTGGAGGAGGAGATGTTACATACTGGGTAGCTAAGAATGACAAAAACTACAGGCAGGGAAGAAAGGAGGAGTATGCTCAGTGTAATGTCGTGTGTGTACAGTGTGAAACGACGTCTGCACGTTAAGTTTGGATACCGGCTAGTTGGGAGTTGAGGACCCTTTCATTTGAATTGGGCTGCTCCTGCCTCAAAGGAACACAGACTTGTGGGAAAAGGTGTAGACTCGAGATAACTATTTTTTTTTAAATTCTAAATCCATGATGTGGTAGCCTCATCTAATAGTAAAAGGTCCTTGATGGAGAAGTGGAGTGGGCATTTAGAAACATGGGGAGCTCTTTAAAATGTTTGTTGATTCCTATTTTCCTACTTTTTACCCCTAGAAGATAACTTAAAAACAAGAAACTAAGCGAGTCTTATTTTGTCATCAAGAAAAAATCAAGGCAAAATATGAAAGATGAATGATCAATTGTATTCATGGAAACATTGTGGAGGGCAAGAAATGAGGGAAGGCGAACATGTGAATTATTTAGATTTATAGCCAGCTAATGACACTTGGGCTAAAGGCTTAATAACTGTAGAGCTTTCAGGTCCACTGGAGTTCTGTGTACTTTTTTCACTTCAAATATTAATTTTAAGAATTGACTCTTAGGCCTGGGATTTACTTCAGTGACTCCGCACCTGCCTCACAAGCACAAGGTCCTGAGTTAAATCACCCCTACTGGAAAAAAAAATTGACTCTCACTAGGCCTGGTGGCACATGCCTGTAAAATTCTAGCACTTGAGAGACTGAGACAAGAGGATCACTACAAGTTTGAGGCCACCCCAGGTTACATAATGAATTCGAGGCCATCTTGAACTACATAGCAAGACCTTGTTTCAAAAAAAAAAAAGCAGAAGAAAATGAATAGATTCTTCTCAAAAGCTAGCAGGTACTGATGCCCAGATCATGTTGATCCATTCATCCACTGTTTTTTGGCATTTACAGAGTGCTGAGGATGGAAAGGCAAGTTCCATTTCCCTGATGGCCCTCAGAGCAGTACGGATGGTCACCAAAGATGGCCTCCCTCGATCTCTGCCCTCCACTTGTTATTCTCTCTTGAATCTGGACTGGCTTTGTGACTTGCCTTTACCAATACAGCAGGAGTGCTCTGTGACACTTTCTGGTCTAATCTTTAAGGGGCCTTTCAGTCACCTTGTGAGCAGTCTGACTGGCCCAAGACCACCATTCTGTGAGCAAGCCCAAGCAGCTAAGTGCAGAGGCTTCTGTAAATTTGATGAAAACCCCTAACTGAAGTCTTGCAGAAGTCAGTGAGAAGAGGCACTTGGAGTGCTTCCGGCAGCACGTTGACTGGGCGCTGTGCTCATGCCCACTTTCCAAATCTTGTGGTGGCTCCTGCTACCCTTCAAGCGCAGGGGCAGTTGGCAGACAGTTTACAGTCAGGACTGCTCCCTAGCCTGACTCTCGTACCAGTTGTGTTCAAGCTGTGGCGTTAGCTGAGCTGCTCAACTCCTCTAGTCCACAGTTTTCTTATCTGTATAAAACGAGGACATAGGATTAAGCCTGTAGTTTTAGGAATAAGTATCATAAATGGCAAAACAATAACAGTAATGCAGGGAAGAAAAGAAATAATGATAGCTGGGCCCAGACTTGCTATTTAGATCACGTTACTTCTCACAGGGAAATTCTGTTACAAACACCCCCATTCTGTGGTCTATGCCAGCTCTAGGCAAGGCTTTTTTTTTTCCTCCTTTTAGAAAGAAACCTGAAGCTAATCATTTTGGACTCTGCATTCTTACTCTTTGTCCCGTTTTCCTTTGTGGAACATTTCTCTGTGGTGACTCAGTACATTTTTTAATACTGAAAATAGGTATTTTATTTTGTTTATACAAGGCACCTTTTCAAAATAGAAATCATAAATCATGTAGCTCTAACAAACAAGGAAGTATAAATATAAAAGCACACATAAAACATCACTGAGTTCAGTTTTCTTCCTGAATCCTTACATCAGGGGAATTCACTGGCTCAATACCTCTCCTGCCTTCTCAGCTCCCTCTCAATGCATGCAGAGTGCTGGACACAGAGTTTTGAGGAGCTCAATGCTGGTGTCTTCCCAAGCCGGGAAGAGCTTTGTGATTAACTGAGAGCCCCGGGTATGTTCCTGTTCTCTGTAGGCTGCAAGTTGGGATGAGGTATGGCGTAGACAAGTGGATAAGCTGTTCTGAATCAGTGTCAGAGAGAAATGAGAGGCCTCGTGAAGACCTTCAGCCTCTCCCAGGAGGACTGCAGCTGTTTGGACTTCGGGAAGCTGGCTGTGTGCTGAGGCCTCCCGGGTGCAGTGTGCACTGGGTGCTAGAGAACCTCTGTGCTCCCTTTGGATACACCCAGGCACGGGTGCCTTATCCATAAGCTCAAGCCAGCAACCTCGGATTATCCTGCTGGGCTCTGTCCTGGTGTCTTCCAGGTTCTCTTCAGCTAAAGCTGAGCTGGATCCTTTGCTGCAGACTTAGCCCAGCTGGTTTTCCTGAGTCTCAGAGGTTGAGTGGACAGTTTCTTCTGTCTGCCTCTCTGCTGCCGGTACCTCCAGTCATTGGCATTGCTTCCATGGGTTCCATTCCTGCAGCAGGTGGATGGGAAGTATTCCTGCAAAGCAGATGATGCACAGCTTTTAAAAAGATAGGAGGGTTCCTCAAGTTAGGTCCTCTGTATTAAAATTATGTCCATCATGGGCAGATGACAGTAGACATACTCTCTGTCCACAATAATCATAAACACTTAGTCCTCAATGGTCTGTGTTGCTCAGAGATTGGAGAACCCTGGAATGCCTAAATGTGCAGGAGGTATTTAAATCCTCTTTTGGTATTTGCAACCTTTCATCCACCCATGTTTTACCAATGCTGCTGGCAGGATTCATGCCATGCCCATCTTTACCCCACACTTTGCTAATCATCTGCTGAAAAGCAGTGCAGATGGCAGGGACAAGAAAAGGAAAGAGTAGCTGGGTGTGGTGGTGTACACCTATAATCCCAGCATTCAGGAGGCTGAGGCAGGAGGATCGCTGTGAGTTCGAGACCAGCCTGGGCTACAGTGAG